ATGGGGTTGATAACAGCACTTTAACAATGAAAAAGAATAAAAAGAGACTAGAAAGCCTCCTAGTCCTTACAAGGGCAAATAGGCATTTAAGTTTTATGTAGGGAAAGCTTTCCTAGGATGTGGCCTGTGACACATTTTTATCTCACTAGGTAAGGAGCTCTGATGACTTGATCGAGAGGGACTTAGTTGTGCTTTTAACTCAAAGGTTGAGTCATCCTGGTGGTTCGAATCCATTAGCTGCTCTGAGAGAGAAAGAAGGGCAATTTTCTGTGCAATTTATATCATCAGAAGTCCAAAGGAGGGTCAGCGATGAGTTGTTTCTGAAGGAACAGCAATGAGGGGATTTTGGAGATTAAAGGACAGGGGGCATCTCAGTGCCACCAAGAGAGACTAGCCAGGAGTGGAGCGAGTCATCTGGGACTCAGGTCTCTGAGGAAGCTCCTTGACCCCAGGGAAGGCCAAAAGACATGACCGTCTCTTTGTTAGAGCAGCACCAGCTAACTAAGACAGACAGATACCATGTAACTAAGCAGCAGTATTTTGCATTTATATTGAGATTCAATGCATTTATTCAGTTAATGATTCCAAGTTCATCTCAAGGAAACTAAGGTAGAGATTGGTGTTCCCATGACATAATTAAGCCTAGGAATGAACTAGGCCTTTGGTTTCCTTTAGCACACCCCCGATCATTTTTACTGAACTCCTTCTCCACTCTCTCTTTGAAGTCAGGACAGGCCTGTTTGGATAGCTGGGTGTAGTTAGAACCTGGAAGGCTGTGCGTGCGCCATCAGTGGTAGTGGCAGGCATCGGGGATGGCAGATTGCGTTAGCTCAGCACCCCCAAGAAACACCTTCATTATGGATTCATGTTTTTAATACTGTGTTTTTGGCTGCTCTCTAAGGTTGGGTAAGGAAAAAGAACAAATCTGCATCTCTCATGAGAATCTAGTTATAATAAAATTTAAGATATGTCACGGGATAATGAGGGCCCCCATTCTGACTTTTGTGGGCTCTAAAGACTTGCTTCATGCACTCCACTCTCCATAAAAAGCATTGTGCTGGTATTATATATTTGTTTTCTTTTTCCAACTAAAAAACATAAAACAATTTTCTTGGTATGTCGTGTAAAAAGTTTTGGATCCTTGGCATTCTGTCTATAGTGCCCAGTAGACATTGCCTGTGAGAGTAACCTTGTTGTTAAGTACCTTGATGTTAAGTGCCATTGATAACTATGACTCATGGCAACCCTATATATGACAGTTCTGAACCTTGCCCCATCCATACCATCTCTGATGAGCTCAAATGCATTGTTACAATCATTGTCTCAGCCTACCTTATTGAGGAGTCTTCATCTCTTTCTCTGACCCTTCACCTTTCCCAGCATCATGTCTTTTTCCAAGGGCCAGACTCTCCTGAAAATATGCCCAAAGTATGTGGGGTGATGTTTCACCATCCTTGCCACTCAGGAGCAGGTTGTTGTTATTGTTATATGTTGTTGAGGCTTGAGAGGCGACTTCTCTTCTGCAGAGCTGCTCAAGAATTCAAACCACATACCTTATTGAAAAAATAAAGCTAATAATTTCCCTCATCCTTATTCTCCTTGCAGGACATACTGGTTACCAGTAGTTGTGATGCTAATTCTGACTCATGGCTACTTGATGTGCGTCATGGTAAAACTATGCTTCCTGTGATATCCAAGGGCTTATTTTTCAGAAGTAGATTGCCAGACCTTTTTCTGTGGCGTCTTTGTTGTTGTTGTCAGGTGCCATTGAGTCGAGCCTGACTCCTAGCGATCCCATGAGTATGCTATTCCTGTGCCGTCCCCATCATCTCTGACACACCAGAGCCCATTGCTGCAGTTACTATGTCAGTACGTCTCATTGAGAGTCTTGCTTTCTTTTGCTGATGCTCTACTTTTCCCAAGGGTGATGTACCTTTTCAAGAAATAGTCTTTCTTCACAATATGCCCAAAGTATGTTAGACAAAGCTTCACCATCCTTGCCTCCAAGGAGTATATATCTGGCTGCACTTTCTCCAAGACATATCTGTTTGCTCTTTTGGTAGTCCATGGGATATTCAGTACTCTTCTCCAACACTACAGCTGAAAGGCATCAATTCTTCTACTATTATCCTTATGCAATGTCCTCACTGCTCCTGAGTAATTCAGAAAGGTCCCCGACAACAGACGTTCCTAGTGCGATACATCTCCTGATCTCTTGACTGCTGGTACCAAGTATGTTGATTGTGCATAAAATCAGGTAAAATCATTGACAGTTTCAATCTTTCCTCCATATATAATGATGATGCCTATCAGTCCAGTGGTGAAGATGTGTTACATTTTAAGTAACCCAGGAGCAATGATTTAAAAGATTACTACAAAATTTGGGAGAGACTGGAGAATATTATGATGACTGAACTAATTCAGTCTCTTAAGGACAAAAACTACATAGGACCATTCATTATTGTAAAACAGAAGGATAACTAGTAAAATGTGTGTGTGGATCCAAGTGGAGCAGGGGTGAGAACACAGGGGTGAGGGTGGGCAGGGGGAAATCATAAGATTGCATGATATGGTTGGTAAAAGGAGGAGGAGGGTAAAGGAAATGGAAAGATCCAGTGGGGATCTGGAAAGACAAGGTAATGGTAGGCATAGTTGAATAGTGGTTGATTTTATAAAACAAAATTAATGAAACATAATTTTTTTCTATATTTTATTAATTTTCATAAACATTTACAGAGATTTTGGGTTTCCATTCATTCATTGTTGCACTATTCTCTCTACCCTCCTCCCAGTTTGTTCTTGTCCAAATGCCACAGTGCTTGTCAAAGCCAGTTCTGATTAATCTTCTTTGTCAGTGTGTCCTTTGCCATTCCCTATCACTCCTCCCTGAGAGAGACTTCACCCTGATTCATAAGGAAAAGGGGATGGCGTATTCTCTTAGCTACTTCCTGCTGAAAAGGGACGCTGTGGGTTTTAGGGTGAAGATCTTCTCTCACTACTCTAAAGGGCCCCTTTGGCAGTAGGAAACACATAGACTATTATGGAGATTGATTTTGGAATTTAGATGCACTCTTATTGATTGTGCTTGGCCGTACATGTTCATATCCTTGAAGATGTACATAATTTTATTAAAACATTGTGAATGAAAGATAGTGTAAAACACAATATATACAACTTTGTATGCAAACCAATGCAAAATTTTTTTTAAAAAAGATGGACAGAATTTACAAAAAGGGAACTTACTTTGAAGTCTATAGTTCTTGATCTTTTGTAGCAAGTGCTTCAAGTTCTCCTCACTTTCAGTGAGCAAGGTTGTGTCATCTGTATAATGCAAGCTGTTGGTGAGCCTTCCTCTGATTCTGATGCTCTGTTTTTCTTTATAGAGTCTAGTTTCTTGAACAATTTGCTCAGCATACAAACTGAATAGGTATGGAGAAAGGAGAATGCCCTGATGCATACCTTTCTTAATTTTAAACTATGCAGTGTTCCCTCTCTGTCTACAGACAAAAACTTCTTGGGCCAGTCATAGGTTTCGTATAAGCATAATTAAGTGTTCTGGGATCCCTGTTTTTCACAATGTTAGCCATAATTTGTTATGATCCACACAGTCAAATGTCTTTGCCTAGATAATAAATCACAAATAAATATTCTTCTGGAATTCTCTGTTTTCAGCCAGGATCCATTTGATGTCATTTCTAACTTTTTCTTGGCATCAATGTAACCATTTGCTTTACCAAGAGACATCTATCACGTAGTATCACTTTGCTAATGCAGATGACACAACCCTGCTCTCTGAAACTGAAGTGCTTGCTGCAGAAGGTCAAGGACTATAGTCTTCAATATGGATTGAAGCTCAATATCAAGAAAACAAAGATTCTCACCACTGGGCCAATTGGCAGCATCAGTAGGATGGTGAAGAGATTGAGATAGTTAACAGTTTTCATTTACTTGGTTATACAGTCAACACTCTTAGTAACAGCAGCCAGGAAATCAGGAGACGAATTGCATTGGGAAAGTCAGCTGTGAGGGACCTCTAAAGAGTACTGAAGTGTGACGACGTCAGGCTGGAGACTAAGTTGTGCCTGATCCAGGCTATAGTCTTTGCAATTACGTGCTATGCATTTGAGAGTTGGACAGTGAATAGGGATGATGGAAAGAGAATTGATGCCTTTGAGCTGTGGTGCTGGATAAGAGTGTTGAATATACCATGGACTGCTAGGAGAACAAATAGGTTTGTCCTGGAGAAGGTGAAGCCAGAATGTTCCCTGGAGTCAAGGATTCTGAAGCTTCATCTGACATACTTTGGTCATGTTGCAAGGAGGGACTGGTCCTTGGAGAGGGACATCATGTTTGGGAGAGTGGAGGGGCGGTGCAGGAGAGGAAGATCCTCGATGAGATGGATCGATGGCACATAACAACAACAACAATCAAGATTCAGAATGTTTTTCCCTTCCTTGTACATTTTCAAGCACTTTGGTTTTACCCCTTTTTTCCTCTCTCCTACCTTATATTTTTTCAGTTTCCTTTATACCATCTTTAGAAGTAGAAAACAGAAGTTATAAATCAGCAGGAGTAAATATATTGGCATTCCAACAATTGTGGGGAAAGTTGTGATTAAAATTCATGGTAGAAAAAATTTCTACATGGTAAATTGGTTCCCTTGTTTTATTTTAGAATAAATTTTCACTAACTGATCTACATTATTAAATAAGAGTTTGCTCATTGGAGTGACTGGCCAAGTTACTGTGTTGGAGAACTCTTCTTTGGAGTATTGTTGTGAGTTTTAGTCCTTGAATCAATTGTTCTTAGAAAGTAGCCTCATCATCACTTGAAAAAAAAGATAGAACATACTTTATATGTCATGAATCCAGACAATTTACAATTAAAATAATGCCGCAATTATAATTTTTATTGCATAAGTTAGAAAATTTAAGTAGAGTGCATCATAAATGAGATTTATCCCTTATTGAACTCTGCATTTTTTTTTCTTCTTCTTTAAGGCATCAGGATAGAGAAGCTTTTCCCAAAGATTATGACATAGATGTTGAGAATGTAAAAAACCTGTGTAATTCAACATACAAGCGATTTGGAGTTGATGAACCCCCAGTAAGTACTATCTGCTAACTTCTTTAAGCCAGGAACGTTCATCTGGCAAAGCGTGCACAAGGGCAAGGAGGAACCTGATCTCTGCTTGCCTTGGAGGGTGGAAGAGCCTCTATGTTGTTGAGACAAGAGACTTAGCCACAGGGTGCTTCAGTGAGTTTACCTATAAAATGCACCCACTCCTTACGCTTAGTATGATAATTCAGTAAGGTAAGGATATACAACTCAAGAGTGCCCAGTGAGAGAAGCAATCAAATTGTGAATATCTTTTACCCCCGAAGTGCTCATACAGATCAAGAAAGTAAGGTAACTTATTTCTCTGTTCGAACGCCCAGTCACCCTTCATCAAGCAGACGTGGAAAAGGTCAATGAGTGGGAGAAAAGAAGAGTCAGGAAGGGGAGCCCCAGCTCAGGCCCCAGCTCACTGCAGACTTCTAAGTCCAAGCCAGCACTGAAATGGGAAGGTGACGAGCTTTAAATAGAATCCAGGTTGACATTTAGGAAATTTCACTGTACTGGAAAGCTTCATAACAGAAATAAGATTCTTTTTGGGATTCAAAGGGGAAAAAAAAAGTAAAAATCTGGAGGACTAATCCAAGATGCTCGTGCAGCCAAAGAAAAGAACCAGCCCTCAGTGTGGGACAGAGGGGACTATTTGATTAAAATAAACTTGCTTCAAGATTATACACTCTTGAGTACAACTTGCTCCCTAAAACAATTGCATCAACAAGCGGACAACTCTTTCAGCAGGTTCTACATGACTTACATTGTGCAGATGAGGACATTGAAGCTTAATCATTTACTCAAGGTCAAACAGCTAGAAAGCATATTAAAAATTAAAACTATTTTCCCCTCCTTTTTGGATCCCAGAATCTAAGCTCTTTTCCAGACTCTCAGCTTGGATAGCACAGCTGTCCCACTCCTAGTCCAGTGGCCCTTTTTGCCTTTACGCTTCTTGCAAAAAGGAAATCATATTGTTTTTTAGCTCTGGCTTGGGGATTGCGTAGCCTTCACTGCATTTGTGCTGGGCTCTAATTTCTTACATTTTAGCTGTAACTTCTGTCCTGTTCCCTGAGCTGTATTCCCATGTGTTGGCTAACCCTACCTCCATCTGTTTCACCTACTGAATGCCTTCTTAGCATTTTTTTTATTTTTGCAAGATTGCTGCTGAGTGGTTGTTTTTTTACATCCACAGGCATTTCTATTCATCTGATTGAAGGCCCTCTAACCCTTATTATTGGTGTTGGGGCTAATGTGAGCCCCATTTACTTGTTAAAAGATTTAGAATGAGATGTTCTTCGTCATTCTTTAGGAGTTGCTTTGGCCCACAATCTATGGGGCAGTAAAAGTAAGGTATTAGGCCACCTTCTAAGAAGAGGGTGCCCTTAGTTCTCATGTCCCTTGAAGATTGAAGCTCAAGAAGCCGAAAGAGGAGATTAAGATTAGAGAGATGATTTTTTTTTTTTAGTTACTATGTGTTGTAGCAGATGGATCTTGGCTGAAAGCAGAGAGTACCAGAGGAATGTCTATCTGTGTTTCATTGACTAGGCAAAAGCATTTGACTGTGTTGATCTCAACACATTGTGGTTAACCTTGAGAAGAATGGGAATCCCAGAACATCTGACTATGCTCATGCAAAACCTATACTTAGACCAGGAAATAGTCATCAGAATGAAGCAAGCAAACATGGCATGGTGCAAAATCAGGAAAGGAGTGTGTCAGGGATGCATCCTCTCCCATACTTTTTCAATCTATATGCAGAAGATCATCCAAGGCGTTGGATTCTATAAGGAGGAATATGGCATCAGGTTTGGAGGAAGATTCACCAACAACCTATGTTATACAGATAACACAACCTTGTTTACCCAAACTGAAGAGGACATGGAATGTTTCCTGAGAAAGATCCAGGGCTGTAGTTTTCAATATGGATTGCATCTCAACATCAAGGAAACAAAGAGTCTCACCATTTGGCCAGTTAGCAGCACCATGAGGGATGAAGAAGAGATTGAGATTATTAATAATTTCAGCTTGCTCGGATCCACAATCAACAGTCTTTGGCACCAGCAGTTAGGAAATAAAAAGATGACTTGCATTGGTAAAATATGCCGTTCAAGGAGCCTTCCAGAATGCTAAAGAGCAATGATGTTAGTCTAGAGACTAAGGTGTGCCTGATCCAGGCCATGGTCTTTGGAAATTTTTTGCTACGCACTAGAGATCTGGACAGTAACTAAGGATGACAGAAGAAGAATCGATGCCTTTGAGTTGTGGTGCTGGAGAAGAGTCTTGAACATACCATGGACTACCAAGAGAATAAATAGATTTGTTCTGGAGAGGATGAAATAAAGTTTCTCTGTAGAGACAAGGATTTTGAAGCTCTGTCTCACATACTTTGGGCATGTTTTCAGGAGGGACCAGTCCTTGGAGAAGAACATCATTCTTGGAAGGGTAGAGGGACAAACAGGAGAGGAAGGCTCTGGATGAAATACATTGACATAGTAGCTGAAGTAATAGGGGTAGGTGTGTTGGAGGCAGTGAGATTAACTCAGGATAAGGGAAAGTTCAGAGCTATTGTGCACAGGGTCACTATGAGTCCAAGTTGACTCGATGACACATAACAACAACATGTTTTATTAAGTGTCATCTATAAATCTCCTTGGATACCTGGTGAAATTGAATATGAGGCTATGGTGATCTATCTGAAGCTTTAGAATGGAAAGAGGTAGCTAGTCACACCATCACCATCCAGTGTGGAGCAAGGGTGTGTGAGTGCTCGGGCCCAGATAAGATTCTTTTGGATCACATGTGGACCATATGGATAGATATGAAGACATTTCAGAATCTTCTCAAGACCACTTCATGTAGGAGTGAAAGGAAGATCTGCTAGAGTCTCAGGGGCTGAGGGAGAAAATTTAAGTCAGGCTAAGACGTATCCTGCATCTCAGGTCAATGTTGAACCTTAAAGTCAACCAGAATTCCTCAAAAAGGTCAGTTTTAAAAGTTCATCGATATTGGAGAGGGTTGGAGACAAGTATGCCCACAGGAAATCAACACAGGATGACTGTTCTGCTTCTCCTGCCCACACCACTCTCTTTCTTGGCATCTCTACACTCCTAACTTTAGCCCCCAAGGAACCAGAGAAAGCTAGGGGAGCAAGGAAGAAGTTCAAATGTGATAATTGTGAAGAAACCAAGCAGGCTCCCCTTTCCCAGCATAGTCGAACATAACAACTCAACTCTGAGTTAGAGGTGTGAGAATCTTTAAGTGAAGTTTAAAGTGTTGACTATGATGTGAGACTCTTCTTGAGGCAGAAGTATAAAGTACAGGAGCACATAGGACATGGGGCCATAGAAAGTGATAACTTTCCAGACAAAGGAACAAAGACAAATACAAACAGTTTAATCTAACAGGTTTTTCCTAGGCAGCTAATGGCTAAATGCCAAGGCAATTTTGGAACTAGCAGGACAACAATGTTGAGCAAATTGAACCAATATTAGTATTAACTCAGTTGTTTGGGACTTTAAAATGACAAATAAGTGAGCAGTGCAAAAGTGTACTAGCATAAATTTTATAAACAGGTGAAGAGATAAATAGGATTCAAGTAAGTACTGTGTTAGTGCCTGGAAATATGACACTTAGCCAGTAATTTTTCTCAAACAGATAGAAAGGGGTATAATCATGCCATATCTGAGAGATTCCCTTATTGTTTACTGAATTGATTCATGTTGCTGTTAGGTGCTGTTTAATTGGCTCAGATTTATAGTGATCTTGTTTACGACAGAAGGAAACGCTGCTCGAATCTTCACCGCCCTCCAATCACTGCTGCGCTGGAGCCCACTGCTGCAGGCAGTTTCAATCCATCTTGTTGAGGGACTTCCTCTCTTTCACTCAACTTTCACTTTACTATGTATATGCGATTCGCCATGAACAAGCCCCTCTTTTTTTAAAAAAAATTATTTTAGTAATTTTAATGAACATTTACAGAGATTTTGGATTTCCATTCATTTGTTGTTGCCTTTCTCTAACAGGCCTCTCTTGATAGAAGTCTCACTATCCCCATTTCCCAAGAGCAACCTGGCTGCAATTCTTCTGGGACAGTGTGTGACAGTTCTTGGCATGATCAGCACTTTCCACCAACACGACACATCAAAGACATCAATTCCTCTTCTCTTTTACTTATTCATTGTCCAGCTTTCACATGCATGTGAGGCAATTGAAAAATGCCAAAGCTCAATGACATAATAGAGTAATACTTTGATCACCTTAACTTTAAAGAATATACAAAATTCAGTCTGCAGCCTCATTTCTGTCACCAACTCTGTACTTTCCAACTTCCATTCCTTCTTCAGTCTTTCCAACTTTTGCATTCCAGTTGCCAATTATCATTAAGACCTCTTGATTCCGTGTTTGGTCAACTTCAGACTGCAAAAGTTGGTGGAAATTCTCAACTCCTCTTGTTTGGCTTTAGGATTTGGTGTGTATATTTGAATATACCTGTATTAATGTCTTCCTTGTACACATACAAATCCTATCACTCACAGCTGTGATCATAGAGCTATCATTGCTGATATCAGATGGATCTTGACTGAAAGTAGAGAATGTCAAAAGTAGGTCTATTTATGTTTTATTGATTATACAAAGGCATTTAACTGTATGGATCATAACAAACTATGACTAATGTTGAGAAAAATGAGAATCCCAGACATTTAATTCTGCTCATGATAAACCTAAACTTAGATCAAGAGACTGTAGTGTGAACAGAGCAAGGGAATACTGCGTGGTTTAAAATCAAAAAGGTGTGTATTAGGGCTGTGTCCTTTCTTTATATTTATTCAGTCTGTGTGCTGAGCAAATCATTCTAGAAGCTGGACTCTGTGAAGAAGAATGTGGCATCAGGATCAGAGGAAGATTCATCAGTGTTATATAGATGATACAACCTTGCTTGCTGAAAGATCAATGACTACAGCCTCCAATATGGATTACATTTCAACATCAAGAAGACAAAA